ATTGACACTAGGAGAAGCAACCAACTGGGTAAACAAATTAAAAGATTTAGAAAGATACATTTTAGAAGTATATTAATATTTATTTATTTCTTTATTATAATTTTGTATAAATAATTATAATTTTGGTTTTTATATTATCATATTATCATATAACATTAGAAATAAATATTTAATTTCAAAATTTATGTAATAAATCTGAGATCCACAAAATAATTGGATTTTGGTCATTAATATTAATTGAATTTTCCCGTTTACAAAATAAAAAATTTTAAAAAAATAATCAGATGATAACTTGAGCAAAAATTGCAATTTTTATTTATTAAAAAAAAAGGACGTGATAAACTAGAGCTTGATTTTTTTGAAATCCAAATTGCTATTCAATTATTAATATTCATATAATAATATTAATATAATTTATCGGCACTGTAATAATGAATGATCGTTATATATTAATATTATGAAAACAGTTTTTCGAATCGGTAAAAAAATATAAGATTTCTTGAAAATATTAATATGACTTATATGATGGAATAAATTATATAAATTAATCGCAAAAAAATATATAGTGATTCTCAATTCTCTAAATAAAATTAGCTGATAATCACGAAGATTTTGACGATTTTGATAATTTTTTAGATAGTAATAATAAATGTAATAAATGTTATTGAATATAAAAAAAATGATTTCAGCAAAATAATAACAAGAAAAAGAGGAAAGGTCATTAAAAATTAAACGCAAAGAAATAATATCATTGTCTTCGCATTCTTTGACAACACTACCAATATCAACACCTATAGCAATTCCGATCAATTCTAATTATCAGCGTGATGAAAAATTTGATAATAGACGTGATACAGCAGTGACAATGACCGTACCTATTTCTACCATTCCAAAAAACATTTTCCTTGTTCTATTACTGTTCCTTTTATTGAAATCTTTTCCTACTATTACATCTCCTATCACTAGTTTTCCAACCGTTCCAGGAAATGCAACTTCTTCAACTACTAAAACAACCCCTGAGATAACCCCGACAACAAACCCACCTTCTCATACTAGGCGATTAAAAAAATAAGTTATTTTTATTAAGTTAATTATTTATAAATTATTTAATTATTTAATCTATTATTATATAGGGTACAAAAAACAGGTACTAGAAAAGGACGGGCAATGGTACGGGTGCTCTGCAAAATAGTATTAGTATATATAAAAAAGGACGGGCAATTAACAAGGGGCGGACGTGGTACAGTGACCCGTCCCTCGTCCTTCATGGGGAAATCTTGAGAACGACGGGTGAAAAGGGACGTGTATGCTGCGCCATTGCTGCACGTCCTTAAAAAGGACGGGCATTAATATTTGCAATATTGTATAATAAATAAAATAATGCAAAATGAAAGGATGTAGGACGTGTTCAATCCACACCTGTCTGTCCACTGTCCTTTTCATTTTGCATTATTATATTATATATTTTAATTATCTTATTTATTATCATCTATTATGATTTGTATTCTTCATAGAGATGGGCAAATAGCGTATAGTTGAACACTATACGACACTATACGATACTTTACGTATAGTGCGTATAGTGCG